ATGGGTTCCTCCCAAGCAGGGAGGTTGAGTGGACTGTTGAGAGCAAGAAAGGGATCTCCCAGGATACTTCATGGATGGGAGTCAGGGACCCATTGGGGCAAAGAGAGCCCCTCACCCCACCAATGCAATGAGGAAAGTAGAAAATACTAAGCATAACTTTAGGGGTTGTAACTGGAGGCTGGAGCTGAAGGGTATTAGATTCATTGGCAACATAGTGCGACTCCCCTCACTTTCATTTAAATCCCCCCTTCTCCTTCCCCTCTCCCTCGGTCTGTTATTTTTATTTTCTCTGATACAGATTGTAAACACTTCTGAGCATTTTGTGTCTGTATACAACACGGTACAAAGATACTGTGCTAGACGCACATATAGCAATTATAAAAGAAGCTGGTCCTTACAGTCCAGGCAACAGCCAGCCTGTGCGATGCTAAATGGATTTTCAGTTTGTAATTCTGTTTAGAACTAATGTGAGCCTTATTATATTATGCCCTATTTTTCTTCCAAAACCTTCCTAATATCTTCAACATACTGGTCCTCCTAGACCCCTGGGAACATCTTCCATGGTAGGGGTACTTTAGCCTGTGCTTCAGCCAGAGAAAAGTCATCATTCTCCCCATCCTGAAAGAAAGAAAGAAAGAAAGACATCCATCCACTTGGCATTCACTTCTGCGGCACAGGAGCTGAAGGGAGATTATTCAACAATAGACTCAGATTTTCAGGGTAGCTTTTTACTTCTTGGTAAGGACAGTTGTTCCATCTCTTTAAGAAGAGGCAGGAACTCCATTGTTTTAACATCTGGAAAAGTTCTCTCTCCTACTCAGTGACCAGTAAATAACTAAACAGTATGGCCAGAGTACGAATTTTGTGAGTAGGTTTCGTGAACTAAGGAGTGGTTATATTTTATTACTTGTAGGATTTTAATGAATATATTACACTTCTCTGTGGTACTTCTCTACTTGTTAAATTAGTAAATAGCTGTGGCAGTACAAAGGGTTTAAGGTTCCCAAGTGGGATGCTTTGTAGGATTGCACATAATTTGAATGGGTGCCACAGTGTGTTCCTTGAGATGGGCCCAAACCACAAATTTCAGAGCTGGATCAGAAGTCCACCAAAGTTTGGAACCCCTTGTGTCTGAGGTTTGGGCCAGCTGTGAGGTTTGTAGTCTGATTCAGACTTCCTCACAGTCTGGGAACAATCAGATTTGGAGTTCTGGTTGGACCCATCAGTAGTTAAGAATGGATATATTTTTAAAAGATGTGTTTTTTCCAACATAATGTCACCAAGAAAACACTTGCAATAACTTTGTAGAGATAAGCACCGTAGGAGTCTGGAAACTGAAGTTGGATACGGAGAACTGGACCATTAGCTATACTAGTGATTTTCATGAAGGGGGACATGGTCCCCAAGGTGATTGCCAACAGGTTTTTCGTGGGATGTGGTGTGTGGTTCTAATTCTTCTCCCATTCTGTACTCCAGGTCTTCCCAAGGGCACATTTGCTCACTTAGTTGAAACCCATCCTCCTCAGATGCCAGCAATGGCACCCAGATCTCTACAACAATTCCCACATTGCTGTTCATAAAATATTGTGGGAAATGGCACAAAGAATTCAGGGGAGCCTCGGAGGAGAGTAGTATAATCGGCAACCTATTCCACAATTACTTATTCGGGGACAGGACTTAGACAGAGCCTGTGTGGTAATATCATGCAGCCTGAGTGATGTTGGCAAGCTAGAAAGCAAGGCCCGTGAGGGCCCAGCAGAAACCCTTTTGTGTTGAGTATAGCTGAATTCTGTCTCTTCATGGTCACAAGGGACACGACAAGGAGGCATAGTGGTGAGTGACTAAATATGAGGTAGGGGTCTAAAAAAGTTTAAGAACCTCTTCTGCCTAGAGTAGGTTTATCTGATTAAAGAACTAAATTGACTTTATAAAACTATTAGAATGCCACAATTTACCTAAAGAAAAAAGTAGTTTTGTTAATCCTCAAAGATAAGGGCAAGATGAACTCTGGGGCATGCAGAACGTAATTCCATACAGGTGACATTTCCATCAAGTTATGTAAATCGGTTGTGACTAATAGAAAAGCCTATGAAATGACATCAGTCAGTGAATCGGTATTGAAACCAAGGCATTTGCCACAGACCACCTTGGTCGATCGGTCCATCAGCCCTCACAGAGAGAGCGCCAATCACAGCACATCATTCATGTTGTTCTAGCCCAGCGGTGTCCAACAGAAATTCAGTGCTGGCCACACTGCTAGCCACACTTGTGGTTTTGAATTTTTCTTATTAGCCACATTATAAAAAAGCCACATGCATTAGCCACAATTCAATAGCCTATTAGCCACATGTGGCTAGTGGCGAACGTATTTGGACACCGCTTTTTAGCCAGTCCTTCAGACACCTGCTGGCCAGGCTGTCAGTGGCACCAGACACCCGAACGGCAGCCCAGCACCCTGAGATATCGGCCAGCGTCAGCCTCCCAAGTGGCTGGGCTTACAGACGCACGCCACTGCACCTGTCCTGCCACAGCACACATTGTTTAAAAATGAGTAACTGTAGACCAGATAATTCTAGCATTTATTGGACTAACTTCTGCTGGTGAAAAAGACACGCTTTCATGCTCCAGAGACCTGAAGAAGAGCTCTGTGTAAGCTCAAAAACTTGTCTCTCTGACCAATAGAAGTTGGACCAATACAAGATATTCCCTCACCCTCATCCTCGTCTCTCTCTTATCGTGGCACCGACACGACCACAGCAACACTGCAGACAGTTCTAGCGTTGTCATCGGAGTGTTTTAAAGCAGCTCGCTAGCATAGGATTGAAAGGACAGTGTCACTTTCTAATGATTAAAGCATGTCTATGGCACAGATGCAGTGCCGTAGCTATGCCACTGTAGACACTCGCTATAGTGACAGAGAGGTTTTTTCCACTACTGTAGTAAATCACCCCATCAAGAGGCGGTAGCTATGTCGACAGAATAATTTTTCCATTGACGTAGCGGTGTCTATACCAGGGGTTAGACTGGTAACCTACGTCTCTTGGCATGTGAATCTTTCACACCCTGGAACGATGTAGCTACGTCAACCTAAGTTTTAGGTGTCGACCAGGCTGAAGTCTATAAAGTGGCGTTGAAGCACATCCGCTGTCCTTGTGCCTGCTGCTTGCAGAGTTTGGTCTTGAAAGTCTTTCTGTGCACTGTGCTCTTTTCCCAGAGGAGGCTTCAGTTTCCCCCCCGGGTTTTTGAAGTTCAGTCTAATCAAGTGTTTGCCATCATAATTAAGAACCGTGTTAAATATCATGTCACTTAACCATAATGATGGGCCTAGGGGAGGGAACAAAATTTCCCTTGTTGAGCCTTAGATGAAAACAGGGTCTGTTAATGAATGCACCAGAGAGAAATCATCCTTAGTACAAAGTCCTCCATTGTTGTTATTTATATTTCAGTAGCTCTTAGAAGCAGTAATTGAGATCAGGGCACTGATGTGCTAGACGCTCCACAAACGCGCAGTAAGAGGCCGTCTCTGCCCGGAAGAGCATGTTATCTGAATATACAAAACAGAGAGGAGGTGTTAACCTCATCGTTTTATAGACGGGAAACTGAAGCATGGAGAGATTAAATGAATTACCCAAGGTCACAGAGGAAGTCTGTGACAGAACTAGAAATTGACCTCCAGTCTCTTGAGTCCCAGGACAGTATCTTGGCTAACAAACCACTCTCCCTCCCCAAGAACTTTATTCCCTGGCAGTGGCTCTTTCTGCTTCACTCAGACCTTTCCTTAGCTCCCAAAGCCATTTCAGTTAACTTCTCACCATTGTTGGCTTGAGGACTGAATGCTTTAATTTATTCACTAGCCACTGGGCCAGAGTCAGACCTGGGCTAAGCAGATGCAATACCACTGCAGCAGATGCTTACATAGGGTTTGAATTTTGTCCAGTTTCTCTATTGCACCATTATCTTCTGTAATTCATATAATATATCCTATACTTCTGTAAGGCAATTTGGAATTGCACCTTTAAGAAAGAGGCCGTACAAAACCAAATCTTATTGTGTTACCTTTGAACCACAACTTCCTCCTTTTCTGCACTCTCTCTGAGTCCCTCCTCCCTAAATTCCCCTATCACCTTGAACAGGAGAAGGAAAAACTGTTGTATCTTCTCCTCACCATTGAGTTACCAATGATTTAGAACAGTACTGGAGGCTACCCTAGGACCTGGAAGTGTGCCAAAAGTCAATATAATTGGTCTGCAACACAGTATTCAGAGGCACACTTCCAATACTTGTGCTACGGGTAGATTGCTCAATACACTGTTATTAAAAATAAGACCCTCTGTCTATCACTCACTATTGTAATGATTATTGTCATGTCTCTGATATTTACATGGCTAGAATTTGTAAACCTGTTCAAACTTCCTAAATAAAGATAGAGCTTAAAAAGAAAAGGCCCAGACAAGGGGGAATCCAATATTTAGTGTACATGGTATATCTCAAAGAGAAACAGTATCCTAAAGGCATGATTTCAGAGTAACAGCCGTGTTAGTCTGTATTCGCAAAAAGAAAAGGAGTACTTGTGGCACCTTAGAGACTAACCAATTTATTTGAGCATAAGCTTTCCTGAGCTACAGCTCACTTCATCGGATGCATACCGTGGAAAGCTCATGCTCAAATAAATTGGTTAGTCTCTAAGGTGCCACAAGTACTCCTTTTCTTTTTGCTAAAGGCATGAATGATCTTTGCCCCCAATTACAAAGTTCCAGCAGCAAAGGAGGTTCTTCTACCCTGAGGGTATGAATTCATCAGGAACCTTTGTCTTTAGTATTGTCCACACCTCGGAGCATTAAGTTCTGTTGCTATTAGAATTTAACTCTAGATATAAGTACTCAAAACACTGAAATTTTCAGATGAGTTTAGAGCCATTGTCACTTCTGGAAATAATTGATAACAAAGGAAGATGACTAACAACAAGATCATCCGAAACATGGATATATCAAATCCAAAACTGGTTTCCAAGATCAGTTTTATTGCACTACAATATTAAAGTTAAACTGAATAATATTTACCAGCCAGGCAACATTGATTGGTTTCATACAGACATAACATTTATTAGTCAATATACAAATGTCACTCAAAGCGTTTCAGTAACCCGTTTAAAATGACACTGCATTTGCACATGTACATTTTTATAGACAATATCCAGTTGCGCTTACAGTTTGAGGGAACCTAGTCCTTACAGTGGACAGAGTTTTCCAAATGTTTAACTCAAGTTACATACACTTACAGTCAAACTGACCAGGAGCCATGAGATATATATTTATACCTTCTACATGGACATTCTGTCTCTCTCAGTGCTAATGTGGCCCTTGTGACTGGAATATCTTAACACAATATCTTTGACACCATTTGTTTTTAGCTGAACATCACTGGAACTGCTTTGCTCACATTTAGCAAGAGCTCTAGACTGCAAATATCCCTACTTGCTTCATGCAGGGAAACTGCTTGTTTCAAAGGCCAGGGGTTCTCTCGTGCTGTTTTCAGCCTCCCAGATGGCACTCAAACTACTATATTACATGGGATTACAAAGTTTCACATTCTAGTGCACAAAACTGATACAACTTTGTACATCACTCAGTACAAATATATTTGATGGTCAGTATTATCCAGTGTGGAGACATGTCATTGTGATAAAGTGGGATTTGAATGGTGTCCATATACTGCATATTGCCACAGTTATGACCACAACACTAATTTACACCAAAGCTCATTCTGTGTTGCTTATGCATTCAAAGTAAATAATTTCTATGTCCGATCCAGTTCCTATCAAAGCCAATAGACAGGCTCCGAATGACTTCACTGGAAGTTGAATCAGACCCCAGGTAAGGGCAGTGCATGTAATATGTAGATAATATCACATATGGGCACAGCTCTTCGGAGCCCATGAAGTTACACGTGCTTATCTAGAGATGATTTGACCCAAAATCTTTTACAACACCATACCCACACATACTCCTCTGCCCCCTAAAATCTGGATAGAAGATATATTTGTTTAAAGCAGAGTCTGACTGTCAACACTTCATCCAAATGAAGCCATAAGAAATAGTAGTGTGAAGAAATCAAGGCACAATTATTATTAACATTTCATTTTGAAGCAATCTCAGTGCTCAAAGTGCTTCCACCTGGGTAATGAAGAGCATTTTTTTGCAAGTGTGATAAGATTTGACAAAAATGGTTACTTAATTTAGCTCTGATGAGAATGACATGATATACCAACAAAATGCTCTAGCAAATGTATTATCTATGTAGCAAGAATAAAAAGCCCATGGATATAATTCAGCCATCAGCAGCAGCAGATTTCTTTGATTCAGGGACCACACAGTAAATGGTAATGTAGCTGCTACGTCATGGAAGCAGATTGGATGTGTTCACTCTTTGGTTGCTAGGTACTTCAGATTCATTTTTAATAAATGAAATATCTTTCCCATGATTAAAAAAAATGGGAGGAGAAGGGGACTGGCTGTATCAATCCTCAATTGCCTTTTGCTGGTTAATTCATGCATGATGTTATTTGCACTCCCTCTGGGCCAGAGAGAGAGAGCCATTCACAATAAATCAGCACAGGGACCTGTGATTATAAATTACAAAATGAAGAGGCAAGGTAGGTTTGTGCCAGGAAAAAAACCTAATAAGTGGATATAAGAATGTGTAGAATAAAGTTTACGTTCATTGCTTTTCCTGCTCCATCAGTACATTTCTGCTCCTGTGATGCATTGACACCAACGTCTGCCCACTCACTGACGTACAACTTGCGCTATCGTTTGTCACCTCTGAATTTAAACCAATGAGTGCCAAAGAAGATCACTGTAAAATGTATAGGGCTTTCCTTTGTGCTTATTTCAAGCTCTGAATTGTGCATAAAAAAGCTCTATTAATAGGACATTTATGGTCTTGTTCGTAACTTCCTAGGAAATCGCTGTTTCGGAGAACAAGGCAAAGTTACGCAATACTTGTCAAATTAAAATGGGCTACGTATAATTAAAGAGAGACATTTCTAAGCACACAGTATTATAACAGAAGAATTTAGGCATTTTCATCTGTTAGACACTAGCATGAAAAGCTTTAAATTTATAGAGATTTCCAACTCTTAGGCCCTGATCCTGCAACAAGCCCTTACATACATGCTTAATTTTACTACCCTGAGGAGTTCCACAATGGGACTTGTAAAGAAGCTGGCTGCCACCCATGCACTCCCTCATGTCCAGAGGTCCCTGTGCACAGCCTGGGTGAGCAAAAAAAATCTTCCTTCACAGAGTCTTTCATCACTCTTAAGAGGCCATCCGCCCTGAGCCTGCTCAGAACTGACTCCCTAGCAGACTTCCTAGCATCAGCTGCTCCTTCCCGGGGCTGCTTCAGGTTCTCTTATATCAAGAACTCAATTGCTTAAGGTACCAGCCTCTTCCCAGTGCCAGATATCTTTGGTTGGCTCAAGTACGAAGTCTGCATCAGGCTTCAAGACTCCTGCAGGGCAGCTCCCTCGCTTGCTCACAGGACTACTCAGTCAGTATAATAAAGTTCAGCATGTATACAAGTGTTTGCTGCAGGATTGGGGCCTTATTCCACAGACCAGTTTGTGAGAGAGCCTTTCCTTTCCTCCCAATGCCCTCCTCCCTCACTGTTTGCTTCTTAATGCTTTAGTCCACCCCACTATGTCAAGATCAGCTGGTTGGCCTTGGAGGAGGTGAGGAGGAGGATGGAAAGTGTAGTCGTAATAACAGAAAGTTTCTTACATCTGCAACTGTGGTAGCTGCTCGTTTGGCTCCATAAGATGCATTGTATAGCCAGACAGAAAATGGGCTATTTCTAGATGAACATTGTGTTCTTGTATAAATTAATAGCTAAATTTAAAAAAACAGAAGGCAAATCCTGGAAAGATTAAATATTTGGAGGATCCTCTTCTCTCCAAAGGACATTGCTATACTCTGAAAGGCCCAGATTCTCTCCAGCAGTGAGATCTATTCAGTCCAGGAGAGAAGAGGGCAGGGAGAGAGCTGGTTATGGCTCCTTAAGGATCAAGCTGTCCTGATCCTGACATGAATAAGAAGCCTCTAGGCAGTTCTAAAACTTATGCCAGCGTGCTCTGATCCCCAAGGGACCATACGCCAAATAAAAACTAGTGGAGCACAAGTTTGTGCCGCCTAACCCCAACGTGGCCCTGGACTGGAGTAGGGGGAACAGTTGTCAGATGAGCCAGCTATGCTAGATTGATCCAGCTGAGAACTTCTTCATACCAGGGGAATTCTCAGCTAGCCACTTACTGCCACCTCAGTGGTGTGAAGTGGCCAGGATAGGCGGATAGAATCTGGTCCAATGTGTCTGTCACGTGCAAATGTATCTGCACATGAATGTTTTTTCAAATGAGGCTACTGAAGCTGTGAAGAGTACAATGAAACCTAAGGGCAGGGCTGACCTAACTTTTTAGTGTAGGCCAGGCCTAAAAAAGGAATGTAGCAGATGCTAATAATACGGATTGACTCTCAGGACTGGTCTACGTGGAGAATTTACTTTTTTATAGCTACATTGCTCAGGGATGTGAAAAATCCACAGCCCTGAGCGATGCAGTTAAACTGACCTAATCCCAGGAGTAAACAGCGCTAGGTTTACTGAAGAATTCTTCCATCAGCCTAGCTATCGCCTCTCGAGGTGGATTACCTGTGCTGATGGGAGAACTCCTCCTGTCAGGGTAGGCAGTGTCTACACTGCAGCTGTGCTGCTGTGCCATTTCAAGGGTAGACAATCCCACAGTGAAAACTAACTAGGGGCTTGTCTACACTTACAGTGCTGCACCGGTGCTGCTGAGGCTCTGTCGTGCTTAGTGAAGACACTATCTGTGCCTGTGGGAGAGCTTCTCTTGTTGACGTAGGTACTCCACCTCCCTGAGGAGAGGTGGGAGTTATGTTGACACGACAGCTTTTCTACACATAGTGTGCTCTACACTGGGGGATAGGTCAGTATAACTACATGGCTCAGGGGTGTGGCTAGACCAAGCCTAGGCAATCTAGATTTTATAGTTTTGATCTTTTTTTTTTGTAGCCTAACCAATGATTTTTCAGATTTTGCAACAGCTCCAGGTGGCTTTTTATACTGGCCCTGGAATCTGTGAGAGAAGTTAAGTTTCTGGGCTGGATCTGCTGTCAGTTACACAGATGTAACAGATTTCAGAGGAACAGCCGTGTTAGTCTGTATTCGCAGAGTTACTTTATTGCTCGGTGAGGTGATGAAATTACCCTAGATTTCTTACCTCTATAACTGACAGAAGAATCTGGTCCACCTTCCCCCAGTGTATACACTAGGTACTTTGATTAAGCCTGCTGTGTCCAGCAGTATTAATGAAAGTGGGTCTGACCATGCGCTCCTTCTGCAGCCAGAACTCCCGTTGGGCCAGTCTCTGAGCTGGAGTAAATCAACATGGCTTGATTCAAATAACTGGAACTCAGTGATCTATGCCAGTTGAGAATCTGGCCCATTGAAGCTAATGGGAGATTTGCCTATGTCCTCAACAGGACCCATTTCACATATAGAAGGTTTTGGGGAGACATCCACAAAGGGACTTTGGTGTTGCAGCCCTGAATGTCATGGTACCTAGAAAAATCACAGGAACAGCATGATCCACAAAGTCTGAATTAGGTGTTTAAGCTCCCTATACAGTGAGTGGATGAGGGGTGGCAGATTCCTGTTCAAAACCCTTCTCCCCCTCAGGACTTGAATAGGGGTCTCCTACACCCTGGGTGAGTATCCTATCCACTAGACTAGAAGTTCTAAGGGATGTCCTTCCCCCTGCCTCCTCTGCCCCCGGCTGTTTCGTATGAGCACGACTGAGGCGCCTGATCTGGTAAGCATGCTCACAGGTCCCCTACCAGATTGGGTCCCCGCACACCACAGGTGGTCGAACACCTTTCTTCCCCCGTTTGTGACTCACTCTGGGACTTGGGAAGGAGATGTGTGTCTGTATGTCCGTCATGAGGCAGTACTTTGTATACTGAGACAGGTGATAGGTACCTGGGTGCCCAGAGGGAGTCCGCAGTGAGCATGCCCAGAGGAAAAAACGTAGGCACTCAGTGAGTTTAGGCATTTACAGGATTAGGTGGCAGCTGAGTGGGAGTTTTGTGGATCACAGAGGGGCCTAAAAATGGGGCTTGGGTGCCAAAGTATCTGTCTGGATCACACCCTTAGTCCTTAACAACTATTTAGTTGTTTTCTTTGGAAGTACATTAGCTACTTTTGATGCACAGGGCTGATGTACACAGTTATGGACGAATAACCTAAAAATTCACTTCCTACTTCAGATACATTATTCTTGATTAATTAGTACACTTCTTTAATTATCGTGCAGCCACTCAATCCAGATGTGTCACTCAAGTCTTTGATTACGGTGTTTCTAATTCTGCAACTTTTACTCATGTGAGTAGTACTTACTCATGAGAGCAGTGCCATTGACTTCAGTGGGATCAAGCCCTAATACATTTGAGACCAGGTCTCCTTCCTGCTCAGAGTGACTCAGGAAACATTTACACCATTCTTGCAAATTGTTACAAGTACACTAAGCTGTCTTCAAAAAGGTGGTCTTGAGCATAAAGTATTATTAATATCAGTTAATATTTATGTTTTAGCAGTTCTGAGAAGTCTCAACTAGTCACGGTCCCACTGTTCTAAGGCTGTACAAACACATAGTAAATGACAGAATACAGGTAACTTTCACAGTGCAATATACACCAGGGAGCATGTTACAATTTGGATGTAAATTCTTTTCACTGAAGCCGGACCCCGTGATCAATCGTGATGGTTTTAGGAATTAACCCAATCACAAGGCATGTTTATGTCAGTATTGAAATAGCTAAAGGTTATCTGGCAACTCCTAAAACTTAGGGCTAGTCTATACTGAAACTTTATATTGACATAGCTACATCTCTGTTGGGATGGGAAAAATCCACATCCTTGAGAGAGGTAGGTAAGCCGACCTGCCCCCTCGGGGTCGACAGAAGAGTCTTCCATCAGCCTAGCTGCTACTGCCTCTTGGGGAGGTGAATTACCTACAGCAAGGGGAGAATCCCTCCTGCCGCTGTACTAAGTGTCTGCGCTGAAGTATTGCAGCTGTGCAGCGCTGTCCCTGTGCTGCGGTAGTGTTTTTAAGTGTAGACGTAGCCTTAGTTATTAAACCATATTTAAATGCCTACTGTCATCGGAGAAGAATTAATGGGTTACAACCATATAGGGCCCAGTCCTGCACTCTTCGCTCAGGCAGAGCTCCCACTGCCCGTGTGGATTTGTAAAATGCGTACAGAATTCCAAGAGCTTTCATGAGCGCGCTTTAAAAGATGCTTTATAAGACCCACTGTGCTCTAGTTTACAGAACTCGGGACTGGTCTACACAGGAAGGTTAGGTTGACCTAGCTGCATCACACCCCTGAGATACATAGTTAAGCCAACCTAAGCCCCAGCGCAGACAACACTCGGTCAATGGAAGAATCAACTGAAGCAGTGGATTTATTATAGTGACAGAAGAACCCCTTCCGTCATTGTAGTAAGTGTCTACGCTACAACAGCACATTTCAGTAGCATTTCTAGTGTAGACAGTTCCTCAGTTATGGTTAGGGTAGACATACCCTCAGATAATCTGCAAGTCTTCAGAGAACTAAACTGTACTTAAGCTGTTTTAGAACTTGTATACACACTTTTGGCCCTGAGACACGCTGAACCCTGAAATGCTCTGTCCTTTACAATCTTCAGTCTATAGCTGGAGAAAGTTAATATCCCTGTTCTTGGGGACTTAAAATGTGAGCTGCAGTAAAAGTGAATAAAAGATCAGGTTATTAGCTATGTCAGGCCAGAATCATGAAAGTTCTGTAGTAGTTTGGGACTTTAAAAAAAATTGTTTTGAAAATTATTATGAACTTCTCTTGTGACTAAAAATGAGGGTAATACTTTTTGAATTAGTACAGTAATTAAGACTGTCAGTCTTAGAATAACTGGAGTTTTTTAAATGGTGTTCAGACTGCCTAAATTATAGTAAATAACCGTAGTCAGTCTAGAAAGTGACAAAGGCATAAATATGCCTGGTGACAGCTGGGTCAAAATAAGTCTGAAAATCTCTCTCTCAAATTAAAAAAAAATTAAGATAAAAAAGTCACTCTCAGGTACATCCTGCTGTGAAACCTAATTCTGTGTTTATGACATCACAATCAGTTGCCACTGCAAGACTGAGGTCATATATTTAGCATTTAGAGGTCACTGTACATAGAGATATTGATCAGTGACGAAGAAAGCCTTTTCTGACATACACATATCTGTGCTAACTAGCCAGAGTGGTAGAGAAAAGAAGAGGAGTACTTGTGGCACCTTAGAGACTAACAAAGGTGCCACAAGTACTCCTTTTCTTTTTGCAAATACAGACTAACACGGCTGCTACTCTGAAACCAGTGGTAGAGAGTATACAACAATAATCCAAACGGGAAAAGAAAAATGGAGTAATGTCCTGGTGAATATCAGTCTAGTATTTTAGCTGTCCCCATTTAAACTCGCTAATTATTGCCATTAGGACATTCCTAATTGATTCTGTGATGGCACCATAAAGGTGGATAGAGAGTATATTCAGTATGTCTTAACTTTTAAAACAATTAACAGTATGTTTTAATTAAAAAACATTAATTTTACAGCTGTAGTCTTCCATGCACTGCATTGTAGCAAAAGCCAGTTTGAACAGGATATACATGGCAAACAAAAAATACCCTCTCTTACCCAGAAGCCTTTTGTGGATTATCGCTTACTAACACATAGGGATGGGGGTGGATATTTCTGAAACTAAAGCACAAAACAAATTTTCTATCCAAAGGCAAACATGTTTTCATCTGTATTAGTAGCTGAAGCCAATGAGTAATTATGAATTCATAGTCGGTTTGATAATAGCTGTTCTAAAGAGCCTGTTTTCAGAATCTATGGTGTTTATAACAGACGCCTACAACTTGTGCTGGAGAAAGAAAGTAGAATACAATACAAATAAAAGAAATGCTATATGCATTTTTCATTTTGAATACTGGTGAGCTGGGTGGCACTTGCAGAGGCTCATTTGGGGCCCATCTCAACTTTAATTTAAAAACAAAAATTAAGTCTCTAGCTCTTTTCATTGTGAACAAAGTCTGGAAACTGCAAACCAGCGCAAGTGGATATAAAACAAAGGAAAGTACTCGCTAGGGCTGAAAGCGAGAAGCAGAGAGAGGGTTGAGAGACCCTAACGAAGCTTCCCCCAGACTCACTTTTTACGTAAAATAAGTGAGGTAAGGACATATCCCAAAGAATGATCTTCCTAACCCCTCAGAAAACCATTGGTCCATCTGTACCCATACTGCTGTAACAACAAGATACAGGAGTCAGGTACTGGTGGACGGAGGGGTAACTAAAAATGGTTTAACTGGCCAGCTTAGATAGATGTGTAGTCACATTGACTAGAGCTACAGTGATGAGCGCAGCAGAAGAGCCTGCGTAGAACAGAACTTGAAAATGCTAAGGCCAGCTCTGGTTGTCAGCATTCTCAGCACTAGGACTGTGCTGGCAGCTGCAGCCTCTGACAGCCATCGTGCGACGGGTGCGTCCACCAGTGCTGTGGGATCTGCTCCAATGAGCACTCCTCTCCTGTTTCTCCCCCAACAAGCTCTGCTCAGAGCCAATGGAGCACACACCATGTAATCCCTGCACTCCTGATCCTTGCTGCTCCAGCATTGCACAAGGAGGAAAGGAGAAGAGGCAGGACAAGCTGCTGCTGTACTGAGTGGAAGTCCTGCGGCTGCTGCTGGCTGCCTCCCCCCCAACACCTTGCAATGCCTACCTTCCCAGCCCCAGATCTGAATCTGAAAATCTGGGTTCCTTCCCCACTTGTCCCTGACCTGCCATTTCTACCCAGAGGAATCTCGTTGCCTGACCTAGCTACCCCTGGGATACCTGGTTCCACCCCTCCCCATGCATACATCGGCCATGAAATCCAAGCCTCCCCATTAATTAGGGAAGACCACTTGCATCAAAAACCAAAAGGGAACCCGTTCCCCAAACTGCCATCCAGCAGGGGGACCTGCTTCCTACTGGACCAGCCACTCCTAGTCAGAAGCTGCAGGACATCCTGCCTGCCCCTACTGCTACCACCAGTAGCTGCATCTATCACCATCATGAGGGACAGCTGCCATGTAGTTGGGCCATCTGAAGTAGCCTCTATGAGGTGCAGGGAAAACACAGCGGGGTCGAGAGGTACTAGGTTAGACGGCAGGGCAGAGGCAGGACTGGTGGCATCTTGGCATGGATGGATTATCTTGGGGAAGCAGAAGAGAGCATTTTACCCAGGGAATGTCACATGTATCACTGAGGGGGAAAATTTCTGAGGGAGCCAATTATTGATAGTGAAGTCATGTGCTTAAAAATGATACGCTAATACTGCTGGTATTTCACTAGTGTTGACTGTAAAGGATTCCTGGGGGGTGATTTACTAGAATTAATAAGCAAAATGTTATTTAGAAGGACCAGTTTACACAATAAGTCTACCTGCTCCCACTGAACTAAACGGCAAAGACTCCCTCTGGCATTAGTGGGAACAGCTCAAGACCTTTATAATCCTACAAAAGAATCAACAAGAATCAGTAAATTTACAATAAATACAGAGTTTTGGAGACTGGCATGCTGGATTATTTTAGCTATTCACAGGGGTATTATTTAATTTTAAGGACCCCTTGGATCCATCAGTGTTTAGGGCTGAAAGGGCGATGTTCTCATATTCCTCCTGAGATGTGAAGCATCTGCAGTGGTGAATTAACACTATTAAATCCTTCTGGAAATTCTTGTTGAGAAATCCGTAAAAGATAGGATTTATACATGTTGAGAGCATGGCTACCAGGTGGCACAATGTGAACACTAGGTTATGGTGGCAGTTCATCAGGACCTCATAGTTCCAGTCAAAAACGACATTAAATATATTTAGAGGCAACCAGCAAGCTGCAAAGGTCACGACAATTGAAATGAGCATCATGTTAATCCTTTTGCTCTCGTTTAGTCTGCTCTCATTCTCCCTCATCCCATCCACCTTACCATGTCTCCGCTGGAGACATACAAATATCTTGAGATAGCAGATAAAAATAAAGCCCAGTGGGAAGCAATACTGGAAAACCAGCAGACTGGTCGTAAAGACCAGTCGCTCTGCAACTGATGGCCATGCCTCAATGCAAACAACTTTGTTCATATAGAAATCGCTATGGTAAGAGAGATTTTTAAAGGGTTCATCAGATAGTTGGTGGAATATAAAAAAAGGAATGGATATGATAAGGGAAATCCCCCAAATGAAGATAATTCCCAAGTAAGCGTGTGAAATATTCGGCTTCCAGCCACGTGGGTTCACTATTAACTGGTACCTCTCGACAGCAATTAAAACAAGTGAGAATATGGAGACTGTGACAGACATACTTTGTACAAAAGAGCTTATTTTACACATAGCCTCGCCAAATATCCAGTAGTCCATCAAAGTGTATGCAACTGTGACAGGAATGCACATGATGCATATCAAGACATCGGATAAGGAGAGATTGGCAATCAGAATATTTGTAACATTTTGAGCTTCCTTCTGTTGTTTTATTATAATAATCAGGCAAAGGTTTCCAAAAAGCCCCACTATTGTAACGACAGTATAAGCCGTGATGAGCAAGAAGACTGCAGGGAAAGAAGGCTGACATGAATCAAAGTGTGAAAACTGTGAGTTGCTGCTGTTTGCAATAGTTTGATTAAACAAACCCACAGTAGGATGCTGAGTGGGTTTCGCCATCATAAAGGAATCCTAAAACCATGGACATAATTTAGAATACAAAGATTATCTTTTGGCCCTAATTATTTAGAAGATATTTTGCTTGGAGCTTCCCAAGACCATAATTAATAGGATTCAATCTTTATGCTTGTTCTTCATGATGCTCTGTTTGAGCAGATCTGATACTAGTACTTACAGCATTGAAGAATCCTGAAAACAAAAGCAAATGGTAAAACGTTAGTGTTAAACCTATAAATCAAAGAGATTGACACAAGTGGTTTGAGTCTGCCTTTTTGAGGTTCTGCACTCACGATTACAGGGAATCAGTGGCTCTCTTCGCACGGTTCAGTGATTGTAGCATATTGTAGTAGGAACATCAATGATCACTCTATTTAAGGTTTCATAACAGTTCTCATTCAAACCCTCTTGTTTTTTAGTATCACTTTCAGGATAAAATATTGCAGGGTCACTCTCTGCCCAAAGGTGCATATTTTTGGAAAGTTTGACCAAAAATGGTTCAGTCATTTTTGATTATCAGGAGAATAAAGAATCATGCTTCTGCAATCAAAGGGCTAAATTCAGGCCTGGCACCAACTACCCAAAAATTACTAAGCAATGCTATAATATGCTGAAGTCTGCCTGTGACTTCATGCACAATGCTCTGTTGTTGCGCAGAAGTAATATTTTAAAAACAAACAAACATGGGAACAGAGGGAATGTATCTGGTAAAGCATATTAGATTAACCACCCTGCCCCATGCAATGTTCTGTCCTAGAATACTACCTTTATGAGGTCTGTAGAATATGAACATCATGGGTCCAGGGTGGAATACAGGAGCAGGGTGCAATGATTGTGTACTGGATTTCCATCCTGGATGCCTTTTTCTACTTGTGTAGATGTCAAAGAGACCACCTCCATTTGGCCCTAAATATAAGCAGAGAAATATATGGACCAGATGGAGGCAGCATCTTTGACATATACAACAATATCTTCAAATGAATGCTAGGCTTAGGTTCTCTCCTTCCTTTCCATAGATACATGCTTTAATATTTGCACTAGTTCGGTAAACAACACAAAGGAATCTTACTGTAGCTAAATGCAGTGTCTGGTCTATAGAAACAAAGACCTGATTCTCCTCTCACTTACTCCTGATTTACACATCTGTATGTGTAAATCTATTGACATCAATAGACTTACACTGTTGTAAAACAGGTGTAAATGAGAAATCAGGTTCAGCATTAATGAATCTATGGATTGGGAGTTAGAGACTAGTTAGAAGAGCTGAACACAAAGCCAAAGCTCAGCGAATTTCTGGGCAGAAAGAGGTTGTGTATCAAAGCTGAGAAAGAAAAAGAACCACATAGAATAGTTGCTTGCCCATCTTTCATTTCTTCAAGACTATGCTTTTCACAACCTTTAGGTACATTTACATCCCTTTAAACAATACCGATTTGACTCACCTTAGTCCCTTTGTTGGGAGAGAGAGGGAAATAAGCCTGAAGCAATCATTCTGCAGCTGTAGCAATAAACATTACACTGTGATAGCCCTGAGAAAAAGCCAGGAAGAGGAAGCAGTATAAATTTTAAGAGAAAACAAATAAAAGAAAAATAATTATGACGAATACTTTCTTTTATATACTGCACTTTTGTGAAATGCTTTATTAGGTCATTAAGACACAGGGATGTTCAGTGGCTTGCATTAGATCATACAAGTCTGCGGCTGAGCTGGGTATTGTACCGAGGTGATATAACTCCAAGACCCGTAGGACTCCCAGGTTCTCAGCTGCCCGTAGAATGTTAGGTGCAGAATTCTAGTTTGGATTGCTTTCTTCAAATACCTCTGTTTGAAATAAGTTCTACCATTTCAGATCAGGCAACTGAGTCTAGAAGTTTGTGAAAGATCTGTCACAAATGGGGATAAATCCCCATAAAATCCTCTAATCCCCATAAAAAGAAGGGTCTAGTGCAGGCCTGTTGGAATGAGGGATGGCATTATGACTGTACTAATGTGGCTTTGTATGGCCTTGCTGATCCAAATGTGAGTGTTGAAGTCTGTGCTAAGGGGATAATACTAAGCTCTGGCCTGGAACTGTACGATTGTATGAGGGAATGGAGAAGGAATTTGCAAAGATGCTCCTCAGAGGCTAATGCAACCTAATGGCTGAAATAGCCTCCATGGTCCTTTACGTGCACCCCTGCAACCAGTGAGGAAAGACAGTCACATGACAGCATTATCATCCCAAGAAGTCACCTCTGTGGGTGCGTATGCGAGGGCAGCTCTCTCTGTACCCCCAATGTGCCCTCCATTTTCAGTGATTTCAGTGAGAACTGAAAGTGTTTGGCAGCTTCCAGGATTGGGCCCCATGTGAATGGGTGATGTGGCTAGTTGGAGAAGCAAGAAGTTGGAGAACAGGAGCTAAATTAAGCATATTTCTCTGGAATCCACTATAAGTAGCAGTTGCTGTAAGTAGCAGTAATTGCCTGACTAGAGTTTTCATACACACAAGGATGTGTGTGCTGGAAAGCAAAGCTAGCCAGTAGCTGTATTGCAACCATGGATATGTCTACACAGCAGCAAGGAGTGAGCTTCCCAGTCTGGGGAGACAGGCTTACACTAGTGCACTAAAATTAGTAGCGGGGACATTGCGGCTTGGACTCTCAAGCCCACCTGGCCCCCTAGGCTTGAGAGCCCAAGCCACAACATCCAAACTGCTATTTTAGTGCATTAGCTAGATCCTGTCTTCCCAAGCTGGGGTGCTCACTCCTTGTTGCTGTGTAGACATATTCAAAGAGTCTTGATGCCAGTGTTAGGGTGTGTACAGGTCACAGACCTAGGGTCTGGCTGTATGGACGGATTGTTGTCCATGAGATGATCCTCTGGATCTCTGGCCTCTGCTCCTTGTGCTGACCACTCCCACTGCCTGACCCCAGGTCTGGGCCCAGCCTCCTTGCAAATAGGGTGCAGTGCGAGCCTATCTAGTTAGGATCCATGCACTACCGCAAAGAAGCCCTGCTCTGCTGTCTCTTCTACTCTCTCAGGGGAGGCTCTATGGGCCCACCAGGAGATGAGGCTGAGCCAGCTTTGTGGTGTTTTATGTATTATTTACTATGTTTACTTATTAATCCACTATTTCACAATCTCTAATTAAATGCCAATGATTATGTATCAACAAGTGCCGAATGTCCTCCTGCTGTGTTCAGTGTGGATTCTGGGGCTCCCGTGGCACTTTCTACCTTCAAAGAATGTCCTTTTAATGACCTTGTAATGTGGCAGTTGCAGTTCATTAACTCTTTGCACACCGATTGTATTTTGTCATTGTTCCAGGAAAAAAAGCTTAATTCCCAATAACTGGAAATTGTTACTGGGTTGCTTGGTAATGTGGGTTAATAAAAGTGTATTTTAGCATATATGTCATAACAAAAGGTAATTTAAACACTTCCTCAGCAATAAGGCAATTTACACCCCTCTTCTTTCGACAACTGGAAAAATACATAATCTCTAGCAAATGACGCCTTGGAAAAACAACCTATACCGCCATGCTGTGCAGCATGTGTTAATTCTATTGAACAACATTATTAAACTAACCATAAGTGTTAACATAATATTTTGCATCCTTGAATTGAGACTTAGGCTGGAGGTAGAATTCTTTTTTCCCCTTTAAATATTTACTAAGAGAACTAATCTCTGTAATACTGAGACACATACTTCTCATGCTACAATACCCATTTAAAAAAAATTCATCACCATAAACAGACATAGAAGGTTTAATAGTATCCCAAATGATAAGCCATTTACCCTGTTCCTTCATTGTTGCAGAAACATTCTTGAAGCATCCAGAAATAAAGGAAAGTTAAAAGTCTAAAATAAAATAAAATAAGAATAAGAAAAATAAACACATAAACACCCCTGTTTGAGTTTGCTGTGAATTATTCCAATGTTTGATATTTCCCTCCAAAGTGATTAGGAAAAGTTGCAGTAAAAAAATCTGATTTAAACTTGAAAGCATTACAAATGTAAAAGCTTCAAAAAGTTGCCCTGTCATCCTTAAATTTAAGAAATGGGGAATAAAATAATTATTTGAAATACATATTTCAAAGAGCTTTCCCCTTCACATGGTTTGGTTCATGAATGCACTGACTTCTTACCTGTTGGGAAAATTCAAGTCATATTTCCACTCTTCTGTCTTTAACGGATTTTCTTTTCCTTTTCAGGTGACGTATAAAGTCAGCAAACACATCTTCTTTGTGTTGAAGAAATCAGAAGTGCATCTGTCTGCTGCTAAAGCCAGATCTAAACTTTTCTTTCTTCCCTTCCTGAGCAAACTGCAGCTTCATTCAGATGTCCAATGGGGAACTGAAGCCACCTCACTGTGGAAAGGCTGCTGAGAAATAAAACAAGCTCTGGAATCTAAGAAGAAGGAAACACCAATGAGAAGAAAACGGGGAGGAGAGAGGACCAGTAGCCATGGGGATGATATTTTCTTTCCCGTTTTTTCAAGCATTATCTTGAAATCTCATTTTCAATTATCTTATCTGTTCTATAGTACAAATATTTTCTTAAGAATCTCAGCTGGATTTCACATGGGTAAATATTTGCAGATGGCTTACTGCTTTTTCCCCAAGGGGGAATGAAAATACAGCCATACAGTAGACTGCTTAGAAGGAGAATACATGTTCTATTGAAATGACATTATTTGCCTTACTACAGTTAAGATTGATTTTTCCATTATAAATACCTTCTATTTTAGGTATTTTATACCTGTGCTGTAAAAATTTTTCAAGATCAAACCATAGCCCATTATCCAAGCTTGGGAAGAAATAGGATTCATGATCATTACTGTTGTTTTACAGTTTAAAAACATATACAATCATTTCTTTAATAAGGCTTGTATTAAATATTTATTTATTAACTATTTAGAACTGGAGGTGACAAGGAAGGAACTTGTTGGTTCAGGGAGTGGTGCAGAGACATTGAGTTTTTCATCTTTCGGTGAATTTCTTCCCCATATCCCTCTACTCCCCAATGCCCCCATCTCCAATGCTGTGTCATCTTGGGGTTTTCAATTCTGGGGAGGTGGTGACAAGAGGGAAAATTAGTCCAGAACAAGTGGGTGTTTGTGTGTGGAAAGCCGCAGGCAGAGCAGATGAAGGTTTCCTGTTAAACTGGAGAAAAGGAAAGTAGCAGGCAAAACTTTTGGGAGAAAAGAGGGGAGCTCGATATTAAAAAATCCCCACAGAATGTGGTGATCGAAAAGCAGTAGGATTTTCAGAATGAGGGAGAAAAATGATGAGGCTGTATCTATGCTGCATTATAATGGAGAGTAATAGTTTGAGTTTTTAGCACAGATTTTGTTTTGTTATATTGCGAGGATAAATTTTCCTGAAGGATTGCTAGCATTTAGGGTTTTGATCAGGTCAGAAATGAGCTTTCTTAATGTATTTTGGAATTTCTGCATCTGGTCACAGTTAAACCCAAGAAATGGAACAACACACAGAAATGGAACATTAAGTATAGATCATAAAAATTCTTAAGTATGTATATAAAACCAGCAACAACAAAGAAAATAAGTTGGTAAACTTTCAACAAATATTTCAATTTCATTCAATTTAAGTTTTGGACAAAGATTTTGGATAGTTCTTATCCAAATGGGTACTCCATTCTTACTAATAACTGTATCTCTGGATTTTCTTAGTCTCCTGTAGAAAGATAGAATGAAATATATGGGGGCTGATTCTAATATCACACTGGTTTTAAATTGGTGTAATTCTATCAATCTAATTGTATTGAATCTTGATGTTAACTGGTGTAAATAAGATTAATTTAAATCCCAGAGTTTTAAGGATGTAGTTGCTTGTGATCTGTTTGTGCAACTCCCAGCTGGGAGAAGTAGGCATGGCGTAAGTGGAGTATATGGCCAAGAATAGAGGGATCAAAGTCTATGGTTTTCAGCCAAAATGTGTAGTGTTTGTGTTTGTAAAATAGGTTAATGAATACCAGAATTATATTTACTTTAAATGACTTTTCATGCTACTTTTAATTGCTAAATAAAAATTATGGGAAACAACATTTTGCAGCAGGTAGAGACAGGTTGATAACTTCATGGAAGGAAAGACTACATCTATATTAGGAAACAAATTTAATCTCTGTAATCTGATAACAAATAATTAACATCATATTGCAGGTTAGACATGCTAAGCAGGACTGATATTAGATGTTGGATGTAGGAACTCTACCTCTAGGGGACCCCAGCTGCTCAAGGGGTGGTCTTATATCTCAGGAAATAGTAGGAATTCGGTGAGATGGGGGTTTTTAAATAAGAGGTCCCTGTCCTACGTGTAAAGAAAAAATCCCAGTCATCACTATTTGATTCTTAATCGCATTTCCACAGAAGTATTTCCGACATTAGGTCCAATCCTGGAAGCCCCATGTGCAGGACTCTGAATAAAGTCAAGAGGAGCACTGCTAACTAGACTGTAAGCTCTTTGGGGTGGGACCTATCTATTTGTTCTGTGTTTGTATGGCACCTAACACAATGGGCTTCTGGTCAATGACCGCTTGATGCTTGCTTGGATCCAGAATATCTATTTCTCTGTGGATATGATTTGTATCCTTCTACCTACCCTCCTCTGGAGTATCCCTCTCTTCATTAATGACTCCCTAGAATTGCCAGCACCCTCCTCTGCTTCTTGTGCCCCAGTTCTCCCACATCCCAACATCCTCTCTGCATGTCCTTCCCCAATATTGCTCCCATGTTCCAACTTCCTCTGAAGTTACCCTTTCCCCCGGTCTGCTCTCTAAAGCTCATGTCATATATTATACCAGCTTGGAAGTTGAAGTAACTGTGCTTCAGGGAGTGACATTATATTGGCAACCAGTTAGGTTGATTAGGTGTTGCTGTAATATGATTTATAGAAGCATTTCTTTGTTCATTTACAGTCCAGGATCCCCAGTCACTACCACATCCAAGAGAGTAGGGGATGATACCTTTTTGGAGGGCCTTTGATTTTGCCAAACTATCTAAAAGTAAAACCATTCATCAGAGATTCAAGGATAATTTTCTTGTCCTATGAATACTGACTCTCTTTCACTATTTGGAGGAGTTTGGGGAATTCTGGGGGTTGCAGTTGTGCATAAATTTAAAATTCAGATGGGACCCTAAAAACCAAAGCTCTGATTCTAGCAAGGTTCAAAGCACCTTCCACTCCCAGTGGATCCACTGGGGCCCAGTGTCCTCTCTGCAGACACTAAAGAGGCCATGGCTTTTTTTATGAGAGCAAGGGGGTTTGCCCTAGGGTATTGGTAAAAATTGCATCTCCCCACATAGCTATGCAGTGTCTCCCCATCTCAGTGAAAGCTGCAATTCAGTAATGTATGTATATAGTTTCTGATTCTTCATGATGAGGGGAGTTACTTTGAATTTACACCAGAGTAACTGAGATTTTGCCAGTGTCTTGTGAATGTCTATGAAAGAGCCGGAATATTTCTTACTAATGGAAACTATCATTTATAACACTTCAAGAAGACATGGGAAAATAAGCAAAAGTAGATAGAACTCTCTATGGTGGCCTTGCACCAGGGTGAGGCACATTGGTGAGCTAATGTAACTGGAAGAATGTGTGGTGATTTAGGAGAACCTCAAGGAGTTTTCCTTCCCTTTAGACCCCTCTCTTTGGGTTTTCCCATGTCAGGGAGTGATCAGCACCCGCCTCACCCCCGTTAGGTTTAATGAAATAAAAGCCACAGATCCATGGAAAAATTCATCATAAAAATCTCTGAAACTCATTAAGTGAAAGTTTAAACTTTGCACCATTTTATCCCATAATTCTAGCAATCAGCTTTCCAATATTACTGATTCTTTATTCCGGTCCTGATCTCACCATTAAGTCATGCCTAGAAAGGCAACTGTTTAAAATATTTTAGCTTGAAGTTAGTTATTTATGATAGCATACTAATTTCTGAAAATTATTCAGTGACCTGAACCTCAACTAATTTCTATATCTTAATAATACCTAGCCCGGGGTGGGCAAACTACGGCGCGGGGGCCACATCCAGCCCTTCAGACGTTTTAATCCGGCCCTTGAGCTCCCGCTGGGGAGCAGAGTCTGGGGCTTGCCCAACTCCATGTGTGCCATGGCTCTGCATGTCTCCTGGAAGCAGAGGCATGTCCCCACTCCGGCTCTTATGCGTAGGGGCAGCCAGGGGCTCCACACGTTGCTCCCGCCCCAAGTGCCGCCCCTACAGCTCCCCTTGGCTAGGAAACGTGGCCAATGGGAACTGCAGGGGCAGCACCTGTGGAGGGGGCAGCATGCAGAGCTGCCTGGTCGTGCCTCTGCGTAGGAGCCAGAGTGGGGACATGCTGATGCTTCCAGGAGCTGCTTGAGGTAAGCGCTGCCCGGCGCTCCCGCCTCTGGCCCCCTCCCATGCCCCAGCCCTGATTCTCCCTCCCACCCTCTGAACCCCTCGGTCCCAGCACAAAGTACTCTCCTGCACCCCCAACCCCTCATCCCCAGCCCCACCCCAGAGCCCACACCCCCAGTTGGAGCCCACAGCCTCCCCACACACTCCAACCCGCTGCCCACCCTGGAGCCCCCTCCTCCACCCTGAACTCCTCATTTCTGGCCCCACCCGAGAGCCCGCACCCCAACCCCCAATTTTGTGAGCATTCATGGCCCGCCATACAATTTCCATACCCAGATGTGGCCCTTGGGCCAAAAAGTTTGCCCCCCCCAACCTAGCCCTTATACAGCACTTTTCAGCCAGAGATTTCAAATCACTTTACAAAGGAGGTCAATATAATTTACCTCATTTTATAGATGGGGAAACTGAGGCATGGAACAGTGAAGTGACTTGCCCAAGGTCGCCCAGCAGGCTAGTGGCAGAGCCAGGAATAGAATCCAGGAATCCCAAGTACAGTTGGGTTGGAGATCAGTATAACCTGTGGTTGGACAAGTAGCATCTTTATTTTTAGGTCAGCAAAGTGACTTTTAAATAATCTTTAAAACAAATAGTTGAATTGTAGGCAATTATACTATTGAGAGTGATCTTCATAGTTAATGTTTCATATTTTCCATCCTAACCCCCTATTGCAGTCTCTCCTAGCTTTCTAAAACTTTCACCTCACATCGATCTTTTCCAAGCTTGATCTCTGTCAGAAGGTGAATTGTTTTGAATGGCTCGGCAATTTTTGTGAATGAGGCCACTGGAAATCTATACTTCCACCATTTTATATATATATATCTTTGAAACTTTTTAAACAGCTTTGCAGCCAAAATCTGCATAGAAGTAGCCCTGGATGAGAAATGCCTTTGGATCTTGGAAAAAATAGATTGTGATTATGAGCCTTTCAAAAATCACATTTTGTGTGCAAGGTAGATTTTTCTCTAGTATCATACAGTA